ATGATGATGTAACTTGAAGTTGAAGGATGAAGTAGTTTCAAAAGGCAGACGTACATTCTGGTTAATGGATTATATTTGTGCATTAATAAATGGAAAAAAATAATTCTTAAAAGAATTAAAGGATGATTAATTGCTTGAATAATAGAATGCTATTATGCCCAGTTTAATAGTTTGCGCCCAGTTTCTTGTCTGTCTACCTTGGGACCTGGAAGGGCAGGGAGGGATTGATATGGTAACGTGACAAATTTATGAAGTTGTTCTAGTGGGGTATTCCGAGGGTGCTAATCATATGCATTTGCCATTTAGTTAATGTCTTGTAGGCATGCATCAGTAGGCAACAGCTTCTTCGAAGACTTTGGCTGCTAGCTGTGAGAAAAGAATTATTGTAATGTTAGTTCAGGCAGTCAGATTGGTCATCATTTCTTGGAGTGACATTAGGTTTAACCTGGGCAAGCAGTTTAGTATCATTTGAATTGCAAGAGCTACTTCAACCCAAAAACTGAAGAGTTGATTGTGAGAAACTAATTTGTTCGAATATTGATATAAATGAATGAGTGAAGGACAAGAAGTAAACCCTGCAATGATCATGAAGGAACCAAAATTAATTAGACTAAATAAAGATTACAGAGAAAATTGCCTTTCCTGCTCTGAGTTTCTAGCCTGCTTTAGTGCTCATCGTGTTTAATCTGAGGAAGCATATCTAGAAATTGAAGTCATGGGTATGGTTATCGTTTGCAGAAGCGGGCATTACATGCTGAAGAGGAATTGACAAGGGGAAGGACAAAACTCAGGTTTGCATTTATAAAAGTGGAGCAATTTATAATTCACTCCCATTGCCGTAGCACTTACTTTTTATGTCCAAATTTCTATTTGCAGACAAACAGGGAAACAAATCCAAAGTGTGATTCGCTCAGCTTATAAGGCTGAAAGACAAGCAGCAGGTATGCAAAACCTTTTGACTCTAGAGTTTGATAACATTAAGCAGTTAAAAGGGGAGGCGAATGAGACATTTTGCTTCTGTTGCTTGAACATTGTTTTTCATTCTATCAGGTTTGAAAGATATCCTTGGAGAGCTTCCCAGAAGAGAAGCAGCTGTGTTTCGGTCACAAGTGAGTTAGTTGATCATAGTATTGCACTTACTCATTTCTTCCTTATCCAGAAGTCGAAAACATATATCTTAAAGACATAAAAGTTAAAACTCATAAATACGAAATCCACTAAAGAAAACAGATCTTTGAAGAGGTTTATCGCCTTGGGAAAGCATGTTACTCACATAGACAGTTCACTGAAAATAAAGACAATGGACGAGATAGAAAAAAGAAATTTCTCCATCCATGTCCCATGTTTCTGCTTATCCACTGGTTTGTATAAAATTCCTTGTTGCGAATTTCACATAAATGCTAATCTTGGGTTGTCTCGCTTGCAGGTTTCCAAACTAGCTACGGAGGCAAAGAAAGAAAGGAATGCTTTGTCAAAGGAGGTCACAAAAATTAGCAATTATGGGATCTCAGTCTGAGAATTCTCACTTGCATTCCGACGTTAGAATGTACCTCATCAAAAGTGTTAATAATTGAACTAACTGCAGTACTTGGAGCAATCCGTGCTCATGAGTTTTGTACAAGGCGATATTGCTTAAGACTACAAATGTCAGCGTCACGTTAGGACTATGGAGATAAAAGTTTGAGAGTGATAAGTTGAACCACAGGCTTGTTAATTAACAACAAAACTTGCCCAACTTGCCGGGCAGTCTCACTAAATTTTTGTTGGAGTCACGAGTTCTTAGCTTTATCTTGACCATTATCAAAGTCTAATGCTCTCAAACATCAAACATTAGGTCATGCCTACTTTGTCCATGTTTGAGTATCTGAACTGAAAGAAATGGAAAAATCCTCTCTTCCGGTGCGGTGACTTGAGCACTCCATTTGTAGCCTCGCATATTTCTCTTCCAGAGTTTTGAGTGTCTCTCATGCATTTGATGCAAGTACTAGATTTAATCCTAATCCTAGTAGGAATACCTCCCTATATATATATAATCTTGTGTATTCGACCAAAAAAAAGAAATACATACATAATTTTGTGTATGTTCAAAGAACACTACCTCCTCAAATTGAAGCATAACAGGTCTTATTTGAAAATTAAATAAAAGATAAGTAAATCCATTATAACCTCTCTCAACCCCAGGAGGATCGTCTCTGGATCTTTTTTTATGAGGATCTGGGAATCCTTAAATCGTGTCCATTCATCGTATATAGTGCGGTCAGTTTTTGTCAAGTACTATTCATATTTAATTTAAAATAAAAATATTTAAAATGATTTATATCGCACAATGTATGATGAACGGGCACGATTTAAGGATCTCTAGAATCCTCACAAAGAGGATCCGGAAAGGATCCTTATTCCTCTCAAGCACACCCTACGAGCGTGCACAATTTGCATATATATATATATATGGGGCACTTTGTATCCGGTCCTTAGTTGGTATAATTCTTTGATTGAAACCTTATTGAATTTCAGTTTATGAACAAGGTCCCTGAGCTTTGTACACATCAGCATTTTACTATTCACATATTTCCATGTCAGTTTTTAATTTATTTATTAAAAAAATTAATTTATAAATTATACTTCATATCACTCATTATCATAGCAAAATAATTGGAGACCATTGTAACTGAAATTCCCAAATTTCAGTCCCCCAATTCAAGCTATTCTTCTGTTTATAGTTTGTACCCAAGACAGACTTTATGATTCATAAAGTCTGAATAAAAACAACTTCATTCAAAGTATGCCATTGAACAAGTCCCATATCTTCATTACAAACACAAACTCACTTCAGAGTCTGCCATGGAAAAGCTGATGTGAAGTCGCCATACACGCTAACAGAAAAATGTACCCCCATGCAATAAGATTGCTACCAAACCCCCCCCCCCCCCCCCAAAAACACCCGCATATGGCCTTTTTAGTCCCATTGACTGCAAAAATCTTCCAGTATTTTTGTTTACCTGATTAGCTAGTTTGTACCCAAGATTAAAAATTGATTTTGCAGTCACCATATATGCTAACAAAAAATGTACCCAATGCAATAAGATTGTACCCCACGCCTGGCCTTCTAAGCCCCGTAAAGGAAAAAAAAACTTATTCAAACATTTTTACAAACACTTGTTGTGCATACTAGAAATTCATAAACACTGGTCGTAGGATCTCCAAGTTCCTCTGTAAATGCAATGCAGTTCTTCCCCACTTGAAATACCTCCGACTGGGTAGAACTATGGTGCAAAGATTACCCATTCAAAGATTTTAACAAAGTCAGTCCGATGTAACAAAAAATTGGACGCGGTTCAAATCTTCTGCAAAACTCTGCGTTTGTTTGAATGCTCTTGGAGAACATATGAGTACGGCTCAAATTTTGGCAAAAATTGAATTGATGAATTTGAAAGCAAACTAAAAACAAAAAAGGGAATAGCTTGAATTGCGCAACTGAAATCAGAGTTTCAGTTACAATGCTCTAATTATGTTGATAGTGATAATGAATGATATGAGGGTAATTTATAAATTAAAAATTTTAATAAATAAAATAAAAAGCTGACATGGAAATATGTGAAAATGCTGATGTGTACAAAGTCTAGGGACCTTAATCAGAAATTGAAATTCAACAAGGTTTTAATCATAGAGTAGTGATAACTGGATCCTAATTTCTCCTATATATATAATATATACAGGCCCTCTTGACCATTAGATTTGGCTTTAATAAAATTATGTGATTGAGATTAAATCACAAGCCACATAATCTCAACCATAGGATTTCATTAAAGTCAAATTTAATGGTCAAGAGGATGTCCCCATTTTTTATTAAACATGAGGATCTCTTCCCTTAAAGACTTCTTATATGAAGAAGTGGCAGTCGCACCATCCTCATCATCAAAGAGTTCTTTCTTCCTCTTTATTTCTTGTTAATGTTTTTGCTAGCCAAATTCATTATGAGTTACTAAGTACTTTAGTTGGGACTTGGTTGAAGTCCTAATCATGTTTCCTTGAGTATTTTCGATACACTTTTGTTACAAGAAAATTTGTTGATACTTTAATGGTTAATTCCTATTTTAATTCCAATCTTATTGAGTTATTTTATGATTGATCACCATAGAATAGCTTTGTGATTGAGTTTGTTACACTGATAAATTTAGATGATTAAGTCTTGTACCTATGCCAAGTAACAAGAGAACTAGCTACGGTTGTTGGAATTAATTATCACGAATAATTGGAATAGATACAATGTTCTAGGATTTGCGTGCATTTTCCATTGTATTATGCTTTCTCAGAGTGCAGCTTAGTAGATACCATGCTAAATACTTGGAGAATGAAAAAAGTTAGTGTAAACACCCATGCCTAATTTGTTGTTTAGGGAAATCAATAGCTTAAAGAGTAAATACCATGCCTTTGGGTTGACAAACGTTAAACATCTAAATTGTCTTGAATCATCATGTGTACCGATTGCTTAGGCGAAAAAGATTAGAGATGGAAACCGAAGTCCTAACCGTTCAAACATCGTTTTCAAAACCCTTATTGCCAATTACTCTTATTTGCCTACGTTCTTTATATTGTGTTTTTATACTTTTAAATTTAAGACATCTCAAACTATTTTGTTAAACCTTTATGTGCATGTTTGCTAGTTTTGTGAATAAATTAATTTAAGTTCTTAGGAATCATAACCTAGATACCTATTAGTGCAATCCTTGTGGGAATGATCTCGTACTTGCTTTATATACTATGTGTTTGATCTCGTGCACTTGCGAGTTTAAAACGTGTAATTAATAGCTTAATATTTAGGTTGCTAATTTCGTAACAAGTTTGTATATATATATATATATATGTATGTATGTATGTATATATGTATGTATGTATATATATATATGTATGTATGTATATATATATATATATGTATGCATGCATATGCATATTCTCAAACAAAAAACAGCAATCAAACAAAATAATAATAATAATAATAATAATAATAATAATAAATCTGATATATTATATAAGGAGTGGAATACATAGGTTTTAGATATGTACAGAAGATTACTATAATAACAGCAATCAAACAAAATACCAGAATTAATCTGACCAACAATTCAACATCCCCAATCCCAAACCATCAGAATTTGGTTCAACAACAAAACTACATACAACAACACTTCAACAAATTCGGTCGTGGTCGTGGTCGTGGTCGTGGTCGTGGTCCTGTTCGTGTTCGTGTTCATATATCCGCAGCAGCAGTAACTATGAAGTCTCTGAACATTAATCCATCTCAGCGGACCCATGCTACAGAATCAATCTCATCCCTTGCCGACTTGTACAGTTCTAGCCTTTTAGCACACTGGTGCCTCCTCTCCATCAACGCCGGATCTTCGTCAAGCAGCTGGGAAAGGTGCTTAGCCTGAAACACAAACCAAAGCAACAACAATTATAAAACACAAGCGATAATAGTTGTTCGGGTCCAAACAATCAAAACATTGCATGTAAGGCAAGAGAGTACCTCTCTCTTCCCAATTTGTATGTAGAAGTGATTCAGCAATGACGTATTAGCCTCTTTGACTTGACAATGAACAACGGCCTTGGGGATTGTGTTCCTCAGTGTCTCAGACACCATTCCCACATAAGAGGATACGTTTGATCCTATCCTCCGAAAGTGGCCCTCTGAGTAGCGGTCCATGGCAGGGGCAGGGGCGGGTGTTGTACCAGGCCTTCCCGCTGGTGTTGAACCAGGCTTTCCCGGGTTTCCTGGGTTTCCGGTGTTCTCCATTTCCTGTGGAAGTCTCCGAAAGAAATCCACAGTCAAATATGAAGATTCCATGTCCACTAATCGAAGAGTTGTCTTCTTACTTTCATTACGGAACCTTTCCAAGGCCTCATTACATGCAGCAGCTATTTCAGCTTGCAGAGTCGGAAAGCGCTTCAATTCCTGAGTTACAAATATCAATATCATGCCCCTTTCTCATTCAAAGAACACCAGTTAAACTTTATAACCAACAGCAAAATTCCGTACCTGAGTTTCTGCTAATGACTTCCTCACAAGTTCTTTCAAGACAAAGTGAACCTAAGGTGTGGGTTTTTGGTCAGTAAGAGAAAAAAGAGTGATCAAAAGTTCTGGACGACTAGACGAACTTTAAGAACACTTATAGCAAACCCAGAATAATAGAGTGTAAAGAAAAAAAGGATAACTTACAGCATCCACGGAAGCTTCAGCCGGCCCTCTAAAATAACTCAGTGACCCCTCAATTAGGCGGCGGTAACCTTGCTCCGGAGCAATCAAGTGTGGCTGATAACCGTCAGCCTCTGAAACCACTTTCCTTACATTCTGCAGAGAAAGATGTCGATCAAATGGAAGCTTCCTCAATGCAGCAGGCAGTTGGTTGTCAAAGACACCATAAATCCGATCACCTCCAGCCCGTCTAATACGACAAAATGAACAAAGATATCATCAAACCACAGTAGTGCAGGGAGTTTTTTTGGTCAAAAGAAATCAACAAATTCATCTGATGATACTACATACAACTTTAACATCATAAATCCCTGTGAAGCAGAGTATTACGCAGATCCAGCACATGCAACCACCAAGGTTCCCAGATCCAGCAGAGAAAGGGTGCCTCAAAAACTACTAAAACCAACCCGAAGCCAAAACCTAAGGAACCCAATTACTAACAAATTTTCAAACCTTGACAGTCGGAGGTGGTTTCGTATTAAATATCAGAACCAGCCAAAAGAGCTAATGCTAAGTAAGCACACTACGTTAGATTTAGATCACCTGCATTGGGTTGTCCAGCACACTAGATTGAATACAGAATACCCGCATGGAATTTTTTTTTTTGAGAAGAAACAATTTTATTAAAGAATAGAGAACAACACAGAAGTGGATAAGAAATCCACTAACTGTATAACAAGGAAAACCCATTAGGATTTGGCTACAGCAGCCATTTCTAGACCTAGCTCACTTAACTGCTGCTAACAAATCCCATAGTATTTGAGATAGAGAAACATATGAATCAATCATATCTAAAGAAAATTCAGCTTATGCCAATTTTGCTAAGGATTTGGGAACTAAAGACGCAAACATTAGGTAAACAATCCCCAAAAACTTAAAAAGGCATACATTGAAGGGACGAAGTTAAAACAAGTCGATCTTACCCTCCATCTAGATGCTCCTTGAAAATCCTGTTAAATGCACGGCAGAGTTCCAGTATAGTGTACAATTGAGCCTAAAATACAAACTCTTGGTCACAAACTCATGATTGCTCAAAGATCATCCAATTTATGATCAAGTGCCACAGATAAAGACAGCTTACCCCAGCATCAACAGCAACAGGCCTACCAAGATGGTCCAACTCGGATTCAAGTTCATCAATGCTTTTGTTAATCATAGATAAGATACTTGGTATTCGAGCCCTAATCACAGTCTCCAAATGCTACAAACAAGATCAATCCATCAAAATGATACCCTATTACATTAAGCAACAAAAAATGATACCTATTTTAAGGAACAAAATATATTCAATTGCAACAAAGATATTCAAACTCAAATATATGCAATTGAGTCATACCTTTGAGAGAAGTTTTGCAAGATACTCAGAACCCATTCTATTAGCTAAGTGCCCATAGTCGGGACTGGTTGCAAAGTATTCGCGCTCCTTGCGCCTTGCAAGAACCATGTCTGTATTTTTATTAATATCTGCTTGTGAACGGTTCACAACTCCAACCCAAGGCTGTTGCAGGCGATAGGATCTTCCTTCAATAACCTATGTGGACAGACATAAGAACTTTAAACTATATTTGAACATATTTCTTTGTTTCAGATACAAAGTATAGGAAAATGTAAAGAAAACCACAGTTAGGCTTGAAGGATCACTTCCATTAAATACGAACACATAACTATAGCATCATTGAAAACTTCTACATTTGAATGCAAATGCAACTTGCTAAAAGCCCGATCTCAACTATTGGAAAGTATTAATGTAATTCACTTGTTTTAAAAGTCATTTACATAACAGTGAGCTGTGTAGGAAATAGGAAGGAAGAAAGAAAGATGGAGAGAAATCTTACATCCAGTGCATTAGTTCCTTTGTCCATCAAATCAAGCTTTGTCAACACCCCAAATGTCCGTTCACCTGCGTAAAGAAAATGATATAGGAGAAGACAAAATCAAGCAATAGGAGCCATAGGACAACTGCACAAGTCAAAAGGGGGAAATGGTTACACTTGAGTAAATAGAGCATACCTGTTGGATCAACTTCCCTAGCAAGTTTTATAGCATCTGATGTGGCTATATCTTGGTTGGCTGGAGATATTGCTAGTATAATGCTATTAGGCTACAATAAGCATAAACTCATCAACTCGATAGAATTTAGAACACTATTGACATTCATAGTAAAAACTTCAGGAGTAGGACCTATGTGGCAGGAATGCAAGAGGTCAATCAACGACCAACCTCTGACATTCATGCAAAACCGGATCTCATCTCACTCCTGAAGGGCATGAGAAGTAAAAATAACACCAAATACATAAATAAATAGATCGCCACAAAGTTAATAAAAGCAGTGACGAATAGACAATGTTCCAGCATGATTCTATAAAACTGAAACACAAAAAAGTTACAGCTCTTGACAAAGCTATTCAGTAGTGAGAAAGACCAGCAAGCTTCAACTATTTGCTCTACCAAATCTAATTCCACTCACAGAATTAAGTTGTATAACGAACAATATCTATAAATTAGTATTTAGAACATAATTCAATCACACCATACTACATCAATGTTTCTGTGCATAATGACTAGTCAGTGACTTCAAAACTCCCATGACAGTTATATATGACTTCATAATGATTCTTTACCTTCTCAACATAAGATCGAACCATGTTTTCAATATCTTCAACAATACTTTCAGGCTGGCCCTCTGAAAACAACAAGAGTCCTTGTTGATGACTGATAAATAAATTTGCATCATGCAATTCAATACTCAATCAGCATTGGAAATAAAACATACCAACAGCAACTTTCGTCAGACCGGGTAAGTCAATTAGGGTTAAGTTGACAACTGCCAGGAGATCAAGAATTAGTGTATGGAAACGAACACAAAAATTGATAATGTAAAATAAACCCCCAACATTCCTCTCTGGAAAAGTGAAATATAAAAGCGAGAGAAGGAAAAGTAGATTAAAAGCAATAATACCTAAAAGTTATCAAAGGTGCCCCAAAACTCTATTGCTTAATTTGCAAATATCAAGTAAGTGAACTTACAAATATATTTTCCTCCGACATAAAAACATATTTCTCTTAGGCCGCATTTGTTATGCAGGAATACTTGCACGGAAGTTGATTGATTTCTGTTCAACCCAAATTTGTTTTTTGGCTACATTTTAATATTTCAGAAAGGAATGAGGTCCACGGAATTGACTGCAATTCTGCCCCGCAACCTGAATTGCAATACTGACAGGGACACCCATATTTCCATTCCGTTCACTTACGTAACAAAAAATTTCTTCGTATGCACTCAGTCATTCACATATACACCGATTAAAATGAAAATAATATTCAAAGAAATATGGAACAAAAGCTTGCTGGTGCTACTCCTATCCCTCCCTACAGCTTTATCTCTCCAGTGCATAATCCAAAGCTGCATATGTTGGTACTTCATCAGTTAAATCCTCATTTAACTTCATCAGTTAAATCCTCATTTAACTTCATCAACCCACTAGTAAATTTAACCCAATCTCATCTCCAAATCAAGATATTTTGCTTGCTTTCGCAAAATTTTGCTTCTCCTTTGCTTTCACTAAAATATATCTTCCGTCCATCCTTCCTACGGATTATTATTGGCTATGGCTTGTTCTGGATCTAGCTTTATATTCTACTAGTATTTTATTTATTTTTAGGTCAGTTTACCAACATTATCTTGTGATGAGAAAGTAACTCTCCTCTCTCATCTGTTTATCAATGAATTTTTACCCTTTAATCAATGTTTGTCAATGATTCTTTTAGATATTACTTTGTTTTTTGTTTATATCTTTTCGTGAACAGAGGGAGCAAAAACTGTGTTCATCTGACCTTTTCAATGCTTTGAAGGAAAAGGGCATTCTGGGAAATGTGTTCAATCTTATTTCATTCCTAGCCTTTGATTCTAAAAATTGTTTCAAAGACTTGAATTGGAAATACCAATTCCATTCCTTTAAGAGATGGAATGGAAAAGAAATACAACTCCTTTCCCATGTATAGTCAAATAAATGTGGCCTCAAGAATCAGGTTAGCAGAAGCAGAAAAATTACAAATTGTAACAAATTTCTCTTTAGAGGTGGACATGTGAAATAAACATCCAATCAAATTACAATTATAAATACAACTAAGCAGAAGCACGAATATGATAAATTGTAACAAATTTAACCCACAAAAGGCACCACACAAAAGGGTAATATCAAATTCTACAAGCTTTAAAAGTTTACGGCTCGTTACTTGGACAACAAGTTTCCAATGACTGTATCCAAACTTTAGATTATAAATAAACAACCAAAAGATCGGTAATGGAAAGCATACCATTAGGGGAGTAGATGCTGAGATGGATAGGAACAGGAGATATCTGTTTTGTCTTTCCTGTTATTCTATCAGTTTCTTCCTGAATTTCCTTTCGAACCATGCCTGCAGAGAGACGACAACATAAAAGTTTGGTTGTCAGTTCCTTTCAACAAATAATAGACAATTTCATAAGGAAAATGTAACATCTCCCAAGTAAATGTAGCAACTGTCAAGTCAAGATCTAAGGTGCCATGTCAAGAGCTTGTGCACAAGTTAATATTTAGTCCTAAAAACAAAGCCAAATTGGAAAACAAGTTCATTAGAAAACCAACTTAAATATAAATTCAATTTTTAATTTCAAAATCTATCTGTAATGTAAATCATTTTCTCCCATGGCAATCACATTGCCAAGTTGCTTCTACCTAAACTCAAAATAAATGTATCACTAGAGGTGCTCAAGAAAGGTGGACCAAATCCAAACAGTATACTCACTGACTCGACTGTCAACCTATTGTTTACCAGCTAAAAGTAATCGACTTTTCATTGTTAAACATGTGAATATCTACTACACCTATCTACCTTCAAATCTAAACAAATTTGAAGGAAACATAAGAGAGAATAATTTGCATACCAAAATCAGTAAATCTCCTCTTGGAAAGGTGAAGGAACTCAGCGTACTCCTGGGTTCCTTCATCTGTCTTGTGTAGCTGCAACACCAAAGGCCGCCTTGTCACAATCCCTGAAATCATACCAAAAACAACACCATCATGATAATCGAACATCAAGTAAGATAAAATTAAACAATTTCAATAACACTCAAAGTTGTGAACGAACCAGATCCTCTGGGAAGAAAGTCACGTCCAACAATGCTCTCCAAAACCGAAGACTTCCCAGAACTCTGTTCTCACAAGTACCAAATGTTCAAAAAAAGAAAGGGGAAACAAAAATCAGAAAAATACCCACATGTTCCCAAAGAAAAGCCCAATTAAAATATCATCTCTACTTTTGCTTCTTTACAGATAAATTGCTATTTATTCTCACTAAAAGCAATATTCAATCAATCTCTACCAAAAAAGTTCCATACTTTCTCAAAATTTCTCGTTAAAAATAAAAACCTCGTTAAACAGTAAATTCAAGCAATAAAACGAGACGTAATCAGTTAAAGGTGGTTGGGAGAGAGAGAGGCAGACCTGGCCGCCGACGACAGCGACAGAGGGCAGAGCTTCCCACAAGGAAAAAATACTATCGCTGCCTCCGTAGTCACCGAGCACAGTACACGCCCTCTGTATGCGATTCACCAGCCCTATCAAGCTCTCCATAGTCGTCATCTCAGTTCCCTTTGTCTTCGATTCGAAACCCTAATTTCGCTTACTCCTTGAGAAATCGAAAAATCAGTAAAGCAGCAGAACTTGACTTGGGAATTTGGAAAGACGCTCTCTGTTTCTCTCTCTCTGAATATTCGAACGGTCAAAATATAACAGACTTTTTCTCCCTTCCTTCTACTTATAAGTTATAACTAATGAATGATGTGTTATGGGTTCGAAGTCGAACCGGATGGGCACCGTTGTGGCAAATGGCGGGACCCACTGATGAGTGGTCTTCGCTCAAAAGCAATCCTTCCAAATTTTCAAATTTTGAATTCATCTTCATTTTGGAACACCATACTCTGCCAATATTACTACCATGGAATTTGATTCTAGTAGATAAATCGGTACCCTGCAGAGATATATCGATATCTGTTAAAATGCATGAAATAAACATGTTGGAACAATGGTATTTGATGACTAGTGAAGTTAGGCTAGTCAACTTTCTTTGTGTAAGTTAGGCAAGTTAGACAAGTTAGGCTTATGTCCTCTTTCTTTCCCTATATATAAGTTTCATCTTGTAATTGTTAGAATGTATCAAATACACATTGAAATTCAATATGGTATCAGAGCTGTGATCTGGGAAAACCACAAAACACAAGCTCTAAGGCAGTCACGAGGTCAACCATTCTAGGCATGGCTTCTCATTCAAAATGGGAAAATCCCAACCACCCACTCTATCTCCACCACTCGGACCAACCTAGTGCAATCCTCGTACCACAACCATTGGTGGAAGACAACTACAGCACATGGGTTCAATCCATGAGTATGGCCTTAACGGTCAAGAACAAACTTGGTTTTGTTGATGGGACAATCAACAAACCAAGTGAGGACAATTCTGAGGAGCTGCAACAATGGAATCGCTGCAACAACTTGGTCAAGACATGGCTACTAGGCTCCATGTCAAAGGAGATTTCAGGGAGTGTCATCAACTACAAGGATGCTCGACAAATGTGGACCGATCTGCAGGAGCGGTTCTCACATGTGAATATAGTTCAGCTGTTCCATGTTGAGAACGAGATCCATGATTGCGTCCAAAGCAATATGAGTGTAAGTTCTTACTTCACTAAACTTAAAAGTTTATGGGATGAACGTGATACTTTGTGTTCCATTCCAGCATGCAGTTGTGGAACAAAGAATGAGATGAACTCATATGTTGAAACTCAGAAAACCATGAAGTTCCTTATGGGATTGAACGAATCGTATGCTACGGTTCGAAGCAACACCCTTCTTCTCGAACCACTGCCTACGGTGAACAAGGCATATGCGTTGGTCATTCGACATGAACGCCAGGCAGAGGTTTCCAATGGGAAGAGTACACAACTAGAGGCTGTTATCTTTGCAGTGAAGAATTTGTCGCAAGAACCTACACCGGAAGACAAAGAGATGCGATGTGGAAAGTGCAATAGAACCAATCACATCACCAAAAACTGTCGTGCACATCTCAAGTGCACTTTTTGTGGATGGAAAGGTCACACCTTCAATTTCTGTCGAAAACGGAAAGCAGCCACAGAAACGGAAAGCAGTCGTCCTTTTTCTTCAAAAGGGAATCAAGTTTCACAAAGTAACAAGCAAGAGATGTTGCCCAATTTCCCGTTCTCTCAGGAGGATTGCAAGCAAATCCTTCAAATGTTGAACAAGAACAAATCATCATTTGCCAATCAAGTCGGTAATCCTTCTAGTCATGAAGAACTTTCAGGTAAAGCCTTATCTTTTTCCTGTAAGGGAACCAAAAGTATTTGGATCCTGGACAGTGGTGCCACGGATTACATAGTTTGCATCCCTAGTCTCTTTACACACTCACGAGCTGTTGAAAATCATACAGTTGAACTGCCAAATGGTTCCGTTCCCAGAGTCACTCATATTGGACAAGTTGTTTTCTCTCATAATCTTATCCTTGACAATGTCCTATGTGTGCCGTTCTTTAAATTAAATTTAATATCCATCAGTAAACTAGCCTATGATTCCTTATATGTCACAATTTTCTTCACCCAATTTTGTGTCATTCAGGACCTTCGCTCGGGGAAGATGATTGGGATGGGAACTGAAAGGGAGGGACCCTACTACCTCGACTCATCAAGGAAAGGAACATGCAACAATATTCAAACCATCGCACCAAAGCTTTGGCACCAACACCTAGGACACCCATCTCACAAAGCCACTTCGTTATTACCTTTCTTTAACAATAAAGCTTGTGATTTGGAAAAATGTTCAATTTGCCCATTGGCCAAACAAACACGATCACCCTTTCCTTTGAGCTCTATTTCTACCAAATCATGTTTTGAATTATTGCATATTGATATTTGGGGTGGCTATCAAGTTGCTTCTATTTCAGGTGCCAAGTATTTCCTTACCATCGTAGATGACTACACTAGAAGCACTTGGGTTCATTTGATGAAACATAAATCTGACACAAAAGACATTTTAGTAAAATTCATTCAAATGATTGAGACTCAATTCAATACCAGAGTTCAAATCATACGAAGTGACAATGGCCCTGAGTTTAAACTTGAGCAATTTTATGCTCTCAAAGGCATCATACATCAATCTAGTTGCGTCAACACACCACAACAAAATGGTGTTGCCGAACGTAAACACCGGCACTTGCTCAATGTTGCTCGGGCTTTGCTCTTTCAAGCTTGTCTGCCAAAACGTTTTTGGGGAGATGCAATCCTAACCTCAGCCTACCTCATCAATAGAACACCCACTCCACTTCTCAAAGGTAAAACACCCTACGAAAAACTGTTTCACAAAGCACCTAACTATTCTCATTTGAAGGTTTTCGGTAGCTTGTGTTTTGCTTCTACACATGCCCAAAGGCCCTCTAAATTCGACCCTCGTGTAATCCAATACATTTTTCTTGGGTATCCTTATGGTCAAAAGGGTTATAAATTGTTTGATATAAAACACAATAAGACTTTTGTTTCTAGGGATGTCGTATTTTTTGAAGATCATTTTCCAGTCCAAAATTGTAACACTTCTGTTGCCCCGTCTCCATCAAACACTACACCTATCCCGTTTGACTCGACCTCTCCCATTGAGTCGCCTTCAAGCCTTGCACCAGCAGACATAAACACCACATCTCCCACACTTGCCGACATCACACCACTCTCATCTCTTTTACCCTCTACAACTCCACCACCAGATACCTTATCAACACCTTCACCTACCCTACACTCTTCCCCACCTCCAACCACTCCATCACCAGATCCACCCCATCCACTCCGTCGTAGCACTCGACCAACCAAAACTTCCACATTTTTGCAGGACTTTCATGTTGAGGTGGCCCTCCCATCCCGTGTTGCACCCACATCTTCCACAAGCATGGTTCAGTCATCAGGTACATCTCACTCCCTATCTCGTTATTTATCCTATGACCATGTATCCACCACTCACAAAACCTTTCTCACCGCCCTCACCATTATCAAATAACCCACCAGTTTTTCGCAGGCTGTTCAGGATCCAAAATGGCGTGACGCCATGCAAAAAGAGATTGCTGCCCTCCATGACAATCGCACTTGGACTCTTGTGCCCTTACCACCTCACAAACATCCCATAGGCTGCAAATGGATCTATAAGGTGAAGCTTAAACCTAACGGCAGTGTTGAACGCTACAAAGCCCGTCTCGTTGCTAAAGGCTATAGTCAAATTAAATGGCTTGATTATCGGGAAATATTTGCTCCAGTTGCCAAGCTCACCACCGTCCGTGTCCTCCTCAGTATTGCCTCCATCCGTGGTTGGCATCTTCACCAACTTGATGTAAACAACGCATTTTTGCATGGTGACTTATACGAGGAGGTTTATATGTCCCTACCTCCTGGGTGCAGACGAAAGGGGGAGACACGAGTATGCAAATTACACAAATCCATTTATGGTTTAAAACAGGCCTCAAGACAGTGGTTTATCAAGCTGTCTAGTGCTCTCAAGACTGCTGGTTTTCATCAATCATGGTCAGATTACTCATTGTTCGTCCGAAACCGTCAAGGCAGTTTCATGGCATTACTTGTGTATGTTGATGACGTGATACTTGCAGGTAACAATTTGAGAGAAATTGAAGAGACTAAACTCTTCCTTTCCCAACATTTTAAGCTAAATGATTTGGGAAAAATCAAATATTTTTTGGGGATAGAAGTTGCAAGATCTAAACTAGAAGATGTTGGGTTCCTTGGTGTGAAGCCCTCACGATTGCCGATGGAACCAAACTTGTCCCTTACACAAACTGAAGGGACGTTCCTACATGATCCTTCTTCATATAGGAGACTCGTAGGGAGGCTAATTTACTTAACCATCACGAGGCCTGACCTGACTTACGTGGTTAATATGTTAAGCCAATTCATGGACAAGCCGAGACAACAACACCTTGATGCAGTGCATAAGGTTCTCAGATACATCAAACAATCTCCTGCCCAGGGAATTCTTTTGCCTTCTACAGGTTCACTACAGTTACAAGCTTTTTGTGATGCTGATTGGGCTCGGTGTAAAGACACTAGAAGGTCAATAACCGGTTATTGTATCTTCCTTGGGCAAGCACCGATATCTTGGAAAACGAAGAAGCAAAGCACAGTATCTCGTTCTAGTGCAGAGGCAGAATATCGTTCTATGGCTATCACCTGTTGTGAAGTTATATGGCTAAGAAACCTTTTGAAGGACTTACGAGTGAATCATGCACAACCAGTCACATTGTTTTATGATAATCAAGCTGCCATGCACATTGTTTCAAACCCAGTGTTTCATGAACGAACGAAGCATATAGAGATCGACTGTCACTTAGTACGTGAGAAGATTCAGATGGGAATGGTGCAAACAGCTTACATACGAACCTCGAATCAACCTGCAGATTTGTTCACCAAACCACTAAGCTCGGCGCAATTTGAGGTCTTACTTAGCAAGTTGGGTGTCATTGACATCCACACTCCAACTTGAGGGGGAGTGTTAAAATGCATGAAATAAACATGTTGGAACAATGGTATTGGATGACTAGTGAAGTTAGGCTAGTCAACTTTCTTTGTGTAAGTTAAGCAAGTTAGGCAAGTGTTAGGCAAGTTAGGCAAGTTAGGCAAGTTAGGCTTATGTCCTCTTTTTTTTCCATATATATAAGTTTCATCTTGTAATTGTTAGAATGTATCAAATACACATTGAAATGGCGGGAAATGGCGGGACCCACTGATGGGTTCGAAGTCGAACCGAATGGGCACCGTTGTGGCAAATGGCGGGACCCACTGATGAGTGGTCTTCGCTCAAAAGCAATCCTTCCAAATTTTCAAATTTTGAATTCATCTTCATTTTGGAACACCATACTCTGCCAATATTACTACCATGGAATTTGATTCTGGTAGATAAATCGGTACCCTGCAGAGATATATCGATATCGGTAGAATTATCGGTAAATAGAATGATGAAAAAAAAGATATAATATCTATAATCTGTTGTAATAATGTAAATGCTTACATAATTTGACTAAAGACAGAAGAATGGAAGTCAAGATTGAAGGCTAAGATTGTTGGCTTAAATAGTATAAGTTTGGTTTTTTCTATTTTGGTATGTCAAGTTTGTGGATGCAAATTTTCTCCTCTTCGATCTTGGACGATTTTGCACCTACAAAACAACTAGCACCTTAGGTTAAGGCCAAAAGCCTCACGCGCCCACGATGAATGGGGGGGGGCTTTGGCCGAAGAACCTCCGATGCCAAAGTTAGAAATTTAGAGAGAAATAGTGTTTAGAGTGTTTTGGAATTTTTGCAAGAGGTTTGGCATGAATTTTTGGTGAGAATAGGAGCCTATTTATAGGATTAGGCTTCCCCATTTTTCACCAAGGAAGGGCCGGCCACACCCTTCCCTTTTCTTAGTCAATTTGTGGTTTTTTATTAGCCCCTTTATTGGCTAATAAAATAGAAATGAATGGGGTCTTAAATGATTAGCTTTATTTGAGTAATAAAGTGGAGGAAAATAAAAAAAAAAGGTAGGGAAAAGATGGGAGGGAATATGGCCGGTTACTATGGGATTTCTAGGTTTTTATTTTTAGGTTTAATTAGCCAATTAATTGGCTAATTAAATATGAAAGGAGATATTTTATTATTTATGGTATTGATTGGCTAATTTAAAAGGGAATGAAAGGTGGAAAAAGGTAGAAAAAAAGGTGATGGAATAGACTTTGAATGGGTAGCCGGCCCTATCCCATTTTTTAGGTTTGAGTGGATGTTTCAAATTGGTAATTAAGGGATGATTTTAGGAGATATGGGAAGAATATATTATTTAGATAATTAATTAACTAAATAATATATTAGGGAAATTAAAGTTTTTGGAAATAATTACCTAAAATAAGATAATTTGGAATTAGTTACCTCTTCTGGAGCATTTTTGAATTGGTTGAGGATGATTACCCACTACTTGCGCGTAGGAATCCCGATATACCTCAAGGGTATTTTTGTCCTCTTTCGTTCACAAATCCACGTGTCGCCTAGTGAATATTTTTGGCTCCACAAATGCCCCACACCTGTTGAGCTGTTTGCAGAAAAGGGCAATAGGTGTAGAGATTTTTTTGCTTTAGGAAATTCTGAACTGTTTCCTATTTTGTTGTTGATTCTTTCTTTCAATAGGAAATTAAATCCTTCTAGGAAAAGGAAATAAATTTCCCCAAAGCTTATTTAAGTCCACCTTAAGTGGATTGTTAAATCAACTTTTAGAGTGAAACTTATTCATCCTTACAAGAGAAAAAGAGAGCTTAGAGGATATTTGTTCCCCCTCCTCTAGCAATCTTCTACGTCTTGCCCGTGTAAAGGATCGCTCTTCGTTGCTTCCAGGTAAGAAAAAATTATTTTTCTTGTCTTCTTGATTTTCTAGAATCTTTGGATCTTGATTCTTGGCCTGATGGGAATCAGAGACTTGTTATAGGTTGATGTGGTGAACCATGGCATGGTAATGCCATGAAAATATATATTTTTTTTCTTGCTGGCCGTTGAAGCAAGCCAGGCCGTGGGGTCTGGCAGGTTTGCTGGTCCTGCGGCTTTAAGCCTAATTCTTTTTTTTTTTTTTTTTTTTTTTGCTGCCGA